TTCACTCGAATCAAGGAATGCATAATTCTTTCAATGATGGGGAGACTTCTCCGTAGTCGAATTAGAAAAAATTATGCTTTACTACAGATTTCGTAACGTATTATTGTTTCTTTGTTATGAATAAAGGTTAGACCTGTAAATATTCCTTTTATTTAAAACTAGGCTTGAAAATTTCCGCACAAATTAAGAACCCTTCTGTATTAACAAATCTAAAATAGAAATTGTAAAAAGTTTAAATTGTAAATATTTTATTTTTTAAAATAAAAAAGTCAGGAACATGCAGTTACAGTAGGAACACTAGGAAGTAAAACTCTAAAAAATGATGAATTTAATAACTAACAAATATTTTTTTTATTCTTTAAAGAGTCGTACTGAAAGGATACAGCAGTAGAAGTTGTGAAAGTTCTTCTTAACATGATTTCATCGGGTAACTTTGTACAATCTTTCTTATCAACTAGCGGGCAAGCCCGCCTATCATTGTTCGTTTTTAAGAGTTCGTTTATTCCCATATTAAAATTCGCCGGTATTCGAAAGTAAGACCGAAATACCAGTGTTCAGCGGATTTGCGCGGGCTGCGCCAGCTTTATTCACTTATGCATCTAGAAGATACAGCATACACGATACACATGCGTAAAATCACGAAAACACCCATGGAGCCAGCCCGTTCGCCGGGATTCGAAAGTTGGACCGAGCTACCAGTGTTCAGAGGTTTTGCGCGGGCTAAGCCCGCTTTATTCAGATATGTATCCAGAGCATACTGCATATCAATTACACCAGGGTTTTTCAAACTATGGGTCGCAACCCCCAAGGGTGTCGTGGGGCCTGCAGCAGGGGGTCGCCAAAAATTTTAACAGTTTTGATATTTCTTTAACTTATTATAGTATTTTTACAATTGCCAAATATTTTTACACAATGTATCTGAAAATGGATAAAGATAAGACAATACAGACAAAGGAAAAAACGAGAATGTTTCGACGCATTCTTTTTATAATATAAACATTCATTTTCCTTGCTTTGCACGTGACGCTGTCATTTCGTCTCTTACTTATTGAAAATTTTCACATTGTTCTATGTCTTAAAATTAGAAATTAAAGTTAATGACCTAAAACTGCAATAGTATATTACAGTACATGTGAAAAAATTGACAGTTTTCTCGCGCGTGTGTCGGATTTGCACAATACTTATGGGGTCCCACAAAATTTTTGTAAATATTATGTGGTCCTGGGGGTCGCGAAAAAAATCTCAGTGATAAAAAAAGGGGTCGTGACTGAAAAAAGTTTAAGAAACCTTGAATTACACTGTCATCGATATTTTTAGGGAAAATGAATATTTAGGGTGGTTAAGATTAAGTGTTTAAGGTTAATGAATGGTGCTACCCTTTCCACGTAATAATAATTATGATTTTGTAGTTTAACTTTTCACTGAGAATCATAAAATGACAAAATCATTCATAAGCACGATCCGTGTAATTCAATTTCTTCAGACACGTTAAATTTATCAGGAAAAACTCATCTGCAGGTAATTTGTGCAATAATATATATTTTCGTTTTCATCATCAGATGAACTTCTTGCAGTTTTCTCTTTGTGGCTTTTAAAAATAAGAACAACTATTTGTTTTATATGCTAACTACTTATCTTACGGTTCTTCCAATTCTTCCATGAGCTTTCTTTTAATTAGATGTACTAGTCAAAGTAGTACTTTATTTAGCCTTTTTCTAGGTAACTCTTTTTTTTTTTTCTTTCTCTAATAACCAATGTACTGTATTCTGCCTAAATATTTGATATTGTCTGTAATTAGTTTGAAATGTTTCTTCTCCTTTGAATGTAAATTTTTTTACATAACTTTTTTTAATTAATAACAGCGTAGCATTTCCTAATGTACAACTAAACAAAACGTAAATTGTAATATAAATAATAATATGTTTATGTAAACAAAGTATTTATTTAAAAATTATCTAAAAGTATTACAAGTTTTACACAGATAAATTCCATCAGGTTAAAATGCTATCGATTATGCTTTATATCCATTATAAGGATTTAAATCTATATTATTATATTAAGCTTCATTTCATGCAAAATTATCCAGTAAAATCCAAATTAATTATGCTTTTATTATGTGGTGCTTGTTTATATTATTACTTAATCCTTAGAATCAAAGAACGAGATGAGATATTTAGTTCGTGCATTTTAAAGAAAAACTATTTTACATAGTTAAATGAGCCAAAATAATTCACTTATAGAAATTGTATTAAAACGGCCAAAGTATCTATTTTAAAATACAGTACAACCAGTTTAAAGAATTCCGGTTTGAGAAGTTTTCCCACTTAAGAAATTTTATTTCAGTCCTAAATATTTTGTACTGTTTTGACAATGTTACATTTTCTGACGTGAAACGTTTTGTCTTGGAAGGTTTTCGGGCTTAAGAAGTTAGCACTTATCTTTTGGGAAAGAGATTTTTTTCTTTATTTTTTTAAGAAATTGGTATTGAAAGACTGTGTTTTCCCAGTCGTAATTAGAAACGGAAGTCATCAATATTATTTTTAGAACAGCGATGTAATTTTTCTACTATTGTCAGTGCTTCGCTTCTCGACTGACCGCATATTATTCGCTGTTGTCATATTGATTAACGAGATTTCTGGTTCAATCATCCATCTTTTACAATAATGGAGTATTGGAAAAGAGGAAATCTCAGAATAGGGGGGAATGCTATTACTCTGCTTTTCTGTCTTTTTATATACATATAAAATTATCGCTCATGGTTGGGTATTAGATATTTTTTAAATTAATTAATTAATATGTTTTAATTAAGAAATAAAAGTTTTCATAATGAGATATTTGAAGGAAAACACGTTAAAAGTTTATAAAAAAATGCAGGTAATTTTGTTCCATTTTCCATAATAAGTAAAATTTAAGATATTCTAAGATAATTAATTGGAAATTTAAAGAATTTAATTCTAAAATAGTAGTTTAAACCATAATTTTGAAAAAATGATATTCCTGTTTAAGAATTTTTTTTTAATGTATGTCCCTTGGAAAACTTTTTATCGAGTCCTGATGTATTAAAATTTTTTTTTTTGAAATTATAAATAGTAGAAAATTAAGCCATCTACAGAGGCTGTTCGCACATTTTTTAGACGATTTTGGTAAGCGGTAATAAAAACTCGTTTGCTGCAAAAGAAGTAATTGCAATTGTACTATGTTTTTAAAAGTCAAAATTATCGTCTGTGGCTTGAAAGTTTTGTTTTTATTCAAAATGGCGAATTTAACAAAGCAGTGGTTCGAAGGCTACATTTGCGCTCTTTCCGAAGAGAAATATGCATACATCGTTATCCAAAAACGATGTGCTAAAGCGTCGATAGGTAATATCATCAACAAGAAAGGAAAATAACGTCAAATTGGAGCCTCAAGTGGGATAAAAATTCCAAACAAGTATCCAAGGAAAAAACGGACATCTTCGACTATTGCAAAGGTACGTTGTTTAATGTTAAAAGAAAATCCCCCTAGTCAAAGGACAGTTGCAAAATCATTAAAATGCTCGGTGTCCACTGTAAACAAAATGATAAACGTTGATTTAAATCTTAAGAAAGCGAATTCTATATGAGAAACACTTATCCAAAGAAAAATGGAAAACAATTGTCACAATTGATGAAGCATGAGTGTATTTAAATGATTGTAACATAAAAAGAGCCATTTATTATCATAAAAGGGGAGGAAAAAATTTAAGTACATGGTTCAAAGAATCGAAAGAAAGTTTTTCTAAGGGATTCATGATTGTTGCTGGTTTTTCTTATAATGACAAGTTAAAAATAAAGGGAGTGCAAAAAAATGTCAAGATTAACTCCAAATACTATCAGGAACATATTTTGTCGCCAATTTTTCTGAATGAAATACCATCGCTTTACCCGCAGTGCCATCAATCTGTGAGACTCCATCAGGACAAAGTTAGCAGTCACACATCAAAATCCACTGTAAATTTCCTAAAAGAAATGGAACAAAAACTAGTATAAAGGCCATGCCCTTCACTGATATCCCTACTAAATCTCCCGATGTGTCACCTATGGATTTTTGTGCTTTCGGACTTTTAAAAACTGCGTTATCCAAACTTTGTCCCAAAACCCTAACAGGACTCTGTAAAACTGTTCGGGAGGAATGGGATAGAATACCTCTTCTGCCACTTCAAAAGGCATTATTAACCTGGAAATTGCGGTGTCGAAAGATAGTTCAGAATAAGGGATGTCAAATAGAACATTTAAAACACAAGAATTTTATGTAATTTAGTTTTGTGAATACAATATACATCGTCTAAAAAATGTGTGAACAGCCTCTGTACATATTTAGTTTTTAAGAAAGTTGAAGTTGCCATATTTACAAAATCGCTTCTCATGCTAAACCAAAATTGTTGAAATGGATAAAATCTCTGCAGTTTTCCCAGAAAGATGTACTATTGGATGCATTACTAGATTCAAAACTCTCCTGATTTTCGTGTTTTTTGCTTAATGACAAAATATTTTTAGTAACCAAATATCCACAGTCTCTCGCCAAACTACACGCAAAAAAAAAAAAAAAAAAAAAAAAAAAAAAAAAAAAAAAAAAAATTGCTAATGATTCTGTATGTTTAAAAGTACACAATGTTAAAAATGATTAACGGTAAAATCGATGTAAAATAGTTAACAATATGTAAATATGTTTGGCGATGTTGCAGAGTTTCTCACTTTCTGAAATTTAAAAATATTGCCAAATTTTGTCAAAACTCATACCATGGCAGTCAGTAGCTTCATATTTAATACTTTTTCCTGGATTATCTGTAGGGATTTGTCAGCCAGTTTTAAATGATAACGCTTTTTTTGAATTTACAGAATTAGATATAATTTTTATCCAAAGCACTCTGGAGTTGGTTTGGTTGTATTGGTTCAAATAAGTCTGTATTTGTATAAATGCCAGGTTAATTGTGAAAATTTTCTCTTTAAAATACAATATGTAAATGTATTTAATTATTCCAGATTGCATTCGGGATCTGCAAAGATGCTTCTCTGCCGAAGATACTTTAATTGATCATAAACTTGCAGCACTTCTTCGTTTCGAAGAGAAACTAGATTTAGTGCTACAATATGGATTAAAAGGTAATATTTTTGGTATTAATATGTGTGTGATATAGAAGTAGCGCATATTTTGTCATTCAATTATGATTTAATTTCAGTTGTTCATTTATTATTGAATCATTTATTATTAGACTGTAATGGTAAAATATTAGCGTATGTAAATTTAGTACGAAATTATATGCATCCATAGAGCGCTCGAAAAGTGTAGGTAAAGGCTTTATTTTCTCAAATATTAGTCATAGACTTGTACTTAAGGTTACTAAGCTTCAAAATGAGGTGGAGGATTTTATTGAAAGCAGTTTCATCACCGGGGATAGAGAGATGTTATAAATGTGAAATTTAGCTTTTGATGTGCTTCCTGCAGCTTGGAGCTGTCAACCTGTCGGTCGCGAAGCATCCATCTATAAGGTAATGAAAATCTTTCTTGCATTTCATGGTCGTCAGAAGCGTGCATGTTGCCATCAGCAGGAAACTCTCTTTGCCAACATTCCTGCAGATGTACACTGCTAAAAAAAGGGGGGGGGACAGTACTATATCTCCCGTTCTACTGGGCCGATTGACAAAATTCAAACTACGTTTTTCATGTCTCGAAAGGGCGACTTAGGATATATATTAGATTTATATGTAGCACTATTCTAACATAGGTATTTTGACACAAATCGCACTTTTTCTGAAATAACATACCAATTTTTTTCCATATTTCGATTCTGCGACTCAAATTATGCCAGAATGCCAAGTTTTGTAAAATTCGTACGAGTAGTTTTTAAAATATTAGCTCTCAAAATTTTAGCTCCTCAGTGTTAATTGAATTTGGCAAATATTTATTAATATATCTTTTTTTATTAAACGTTTTTGATTTTTCCTTTCACATTTCGAAATTTAGGTTCATTCCAAATAAAATGTACCCATTTTTTGTGTTTTATTTTTTTAATTTCTATTTTTAAATAATTTTTATAAATTTTTCGAAAAAAATTTTGAATTATAACCTATAAAATTTTTGTCATCATCTTAAGGTAGGTGTATTTCTAAGCATACCTGCAAAAAATTAAACTTTTTTATTCAAAATTTTCTAAGATATACACGAATTTACATATTTTCGCGTTTTGAAATTTGGCATCTTTTTTTTTTTGAGTGATAATAACGCCAAATGTGTGGTTTATGGATTTTTGTTACAGTGAATTGCCACAGCTATTTTTAACCTTAAATTTCAAATAAAATTTTACGGAGAATTAATTATATGAATTTTTTTCCCTCAATGATGCGTAATAAATATTTATTAATACTATGTGAAAAGCTATTTTTTTAAATTATAGATGATATTATTCAAATTTTTAACTATTTTTTTTTTAAATTTCTCTCTTTCTTCCTTTTTGTTTTTAAAAAAATATTTGTAAGAGCAAATTTTTACCTTCGGCGTTTTATCGTCTGCTACTTTACTTTAACTTCGTTTAAATCGAATTGTCAAAAACTGAGAACTTTCGTTTGATGTTTACTTGAATTTTATGACATTAACTGCATAATTTATTTCTAAACAAGCTGTTGCTTATAAAGTGGCTGAAAAAGCGGCTGATACTATCATCCATATTTTTAAAGCACAGTATATTTTTATAGAAACATAAGATTTAAAATAATCATTTTTATAAAAGTCAAATTATGATATAAACATACAACCCTCTAGAAACCGAATTAATGGAAGTTCAATGGTTATGTAGAAATGATCTGCAGCTACTTAATGGCTGGATAAGTCAGCAGGTTCTGTGGACTAGTAAGAATAATTATATAAACGACACCCAACATTCTGGATTCAATTAACAACGAGGGTGCGATGTTTATTAAATGAATTTAAGAAGTTTTTAAACATAAAAAATCAACTCATTTTTTATCCTAAAATGTATTTTTGTGCGTAGCGTATTTTCATTATATCCTTAAAATTTCTAATTTAGAATGTAATTGTCAAGAACTGAATCCTAATCATCAGTAATATAATAAGTAATTATTACAGTTATTAATAAATCCTTCTTATAAAGTAACTGCAAATATTTCAAAAAACTTTCTGTCTGAATGCAAATATTTCTAATTTTATATTAATCAAGATTGCACACGATATTATTTTTTTGCACTTCAGTTCTATAGTAGAAGTTATAAATCAGTTATATTTAATTAAGGAATGACCATCTAAGTCTAGAAACAGTGTACCGTAGCAGCAATTCAATTATTGGCGCCTTATCTTTCATGTTACTCCCGATTGACCAGCTACTTGATTTTTAATGAGTATTCGGGTTTTGCTAGTAACTTCACTTGGAAATCGCGCTTTAACTAGGTTAGTTTGTTATTTGAACATAGAAAGAACATGGAAGCTATTTCGTTAAGATGCTTTCATAGAGAACCTTTGTAAAGAGAACTTAGAAAACTACGAAAACCAATCATGCAGCCTGGGTTAGACTTCGCAACAAACAATTAGTATTTAATAATCTTAAAACGCTAGGCAACTGGTGAGGCTACAATTAAATCTCCAGTTTAATATTTTATTTGTAAATATTTAAAATATTGTTGCATTCTTAGACACAAAAAGAAGAATTTAAGATTTGTTTATGAGCTAAAGAAGGAACGTTCTCGGAAGATTAAAGAAGTGTTTAAATCCTGTGATATTAGGTTTGTCTTACAAGCTCCGGATCAAAACGATTCTGCAATTGCCCGAGTAGTTGACTTGTAAATGGCTGTGAATTAAGCAGATGACTTTTAATCTTACGTTATTCAGTCAGAAAACGTATTCAAAATGTTTTGTATTTGCATGACAACGCATCTTTTCATTATTCAATAACCAATCGGAGAACCGCTTGTGTTCCGATAATAAGTATGTGTACTCAATCGTCCTGCATGTTCTTCAAATTTGTCTTCTTGTGATTTTTTTTTCTCTCCCAAAAACTAAAGTTGCTTCTCAAAGGAAAGTTTTTTGACATTGAAGAGACAAAAGGAGTATGACATCTACTTTAAGAGGCATGTCAAAAACAGATCTCTACAAACCTTTTCTTCCATTACATGTTGTGCATTCAGACAAAAAGTTGCATCAGCGTAAATTCTATAATCTATTTTTATTACACTCTGATTACTTTATTAACATACAGTGAATATATACTAAAACTTTTACTTCAGCTTCAGTAATTCGGAATTTTTGACGGAATTGTTGTCGGAACTAGGACTTAAAAGATAAGTCAAATTAAATATTTGGATAACCCAATAAATTCAAGGTCGAAGTTTCAATATTTTATTTTGGGAGGGAGGGGACATTTTTTCAGTTTTGGTCCATTATCCAAGTATATTTGCTTTGATTCTTTATTTTTTCCATAAAAGCGAAAATTTTACGCATGGTATACATATAACGCAAAGCTTCAAATTAAAATTTAGTAATATACAGGGTGGTTATAACTAAAGTTCCACATTGAAACGGTCATAAAAGGAAAACTACTGGATCAAATGTTATCAAACTTGGTAATCGTGTAAAGGAGGTCATGGGAATTTATTTTCCCCGAAAAAAATGAAGTTTGAAACCTCACCACCAGGGGGAAATGGCGCTGTATGCAATATTGTTAAACGAAATATGGGTCGGAATCTAACTTAACCTTTTGTTACACGGGTTTAATATGTTGTATACCCTTAAGAAACTTTGAAGTAAGCAAACTTACCATTTAAAGGCGTTAAATTCGATAAAAGTCGAGTGCGCCATCCGTGTAAGTGAGAAATTCGTCCGTGAAAATTACGAATTAGTGATTAGAAAATGTGAGATCGCAAATCACTCGCACAAGTGCGTACAATCTGGAAATCGTTTTCTGACAGATCGCTAATTTGTAATTTTTTAAGCCTGAATTCGGTCCTAAAACATGAAGATACTGATTCAAAACGCTTTTATCGATTTGGGCAAAAGAAATCCCTCATGTTATCTACCTAGTTCCATTGCATTCTCCTAATGCATTCGATTGCATAGCAGTCATTCCACACCGTTTGGTATAGAATGACAGCTAGTTTCATAACTGAACAATTTTTCTCTGAAGAGCAGTCAACAGCTGGACCACTGTGATTGCAGCTCACTTAGAGTCAATGTTAAAATGTTTCGTGATATATGAACTGCGGTAACGTGGCATTTTAGATACTACGATTTTTATGCAGGGCTGGGCCCCACCTCATATGTGTCGCACAGTTGCTCAGGCAACATTTCACGAATGAACGTTTTATAGGCCGACACCCCCCTCTTCCCACCAGACCTCAACCTCTGTCACTTTTGGCTATGGGGTTATCTCAAAAGCACTGTTTATGGTGATAACCTAAACAAAATGAAAAGTGTGATACACCGACATGTCCGTAATATTCCTCCTGATATGCTAAGAGCTTCTGTTGAGAATGAAATAACAGGATTTAACTTGTTTTCGGAAAATGCTGGACGCTACATTGAACATGCTTTGTAACACGTTTCGGAAAACTATTAAACACATTTTAAACAGATGTTTTCATGTCTTATTTCATTTAACAATATTGCATACAGCCATTTTCCCCCTGGTGGTGAGTTTTTGAACTCTTTTTTTTTTTTTTTTTTTTTTTTTTTTTTTTTTTGCCCGCGGAAAATAAATTCCCATAACCTCCTTTACACGATTCCCAAGTTTGATAACATTTGGTCCGGTAGTTTTCCTTTTATGACCATTTCAAAGTGGAACTGTAATTATAACCACCATGTAAATTAAACTTTAAAAGTTCGACAGTTTGGTTCAAGTCTCAGCTTAAAAATGTATATAAATATAATTTTTATATTAATCCTCTTAGAAAGCATGTTTTAAGAAGCTAATTTTTCTCTCGCGTTATAGATTGTATAAAAAAAACATGATCTTTAATATGATTTAGATTGTTTCAGCCGATATAAGAATCGGGTCACTCGGTGGTACAGAATAAACACTGCTGGACTGTTTTATTTCTTTGTCATTTAGCAAAAAATCTTTTAATTAAAATATTTATCCTTTGGACTTCGCTTTAAA